CACAGAGGCAGCTCTTCCCCTGCAGCTTTCTGCTTGCTTAAGCACTGCTTCTGCTATTAAATTCAGAAAAGCAATAACATCCCCAGCAATAGATGCCACTCACGATAGCTCAGGGAGCAGATAAGGCTCCCAGAAATGTGTTATTCCTGTTCAAAGCCTTGGTCACAGTGACCTCCACAGATACTTTAAACTCAAGCTGGTTTAAATTTGGTTCTTTGTCATTGCATCCACTTTTTAAGGAAACTTTCAGTGATCCTAAACCCTGCTCATATCTGCTGTGCTCTGGTTTCTTTCTTCTTTTAATGGGGCAAAGACTAGTTTATTAAAAAAAAAGATTTCCATCTCCCAGAAGACAGACTGCCCTTGGCCCAAGCAATTGTGCCCCCCACCCCTCTTCTTCTCCCTCCTCCAAGGAGATGGAAACGAGCCCTTTGATGGGATGTGTTGGCACCTTACAGGGATCCTGTAAATTAAAAAAAAAAATTAAAAATTAAGAAGCAGAGTCAGTTTGCTTCCCACTGACCCCCAAAGCTGGGGAATGTTACTGCTTTAGGATGCAACAGTCCCACGGCATTCCCATACTGCATCCCTGGCAGGAGACGGGACCTGCAGCTCTCCCACTGCTGCCACTGAGGTGTCCATCACCAGCAGGAGATGAAGGCAGCTCTAGGCCCCAGCTCTGCACCACACAGCTCTGCTTCAGGCTCCGGAGGTCCAGGCAGGCATAAAACTGGTTTTTTCCCCAAAAAAGGCTCCCTCCTGCCCTCGGATATCAAGTTTTTTTTGGCACCCCCACATCTCCTCCTGGCCAGGACAAGTCCTGGTGGGCACAGCCAGGACCAGGCTGGCTCCTGGAAGGGGCAGAGACCAGAACAGCCAAAGCCAGGCAGGCTGGGCAGCTGGAGAGAGAGGGCCAGGGTGATTTCATGGAGCCCCACATGGAAAAGCTCCCCTGTCCCTGTCACCACACCATTTTCAGTGCAGAAGCTGCAGACACACACGGCTGCATCCCAAACCCCTCCGTGTAATTACAGATCCACGGTTTCTTCTGGGCTTCCACTTATTTAAACATCCTTTCTCATCTGCCTCTAATACCCTGAGCTCTGTCAGAGGGCAGAAACACAGCCTTTACGTCCAGAAGGACAAGAGTTCCCTGCAACAGCTGCTATATTTAACAGAAAAAATACACTGGGTTGCCATGGCAACCCTGGCTTCTAAAAATAGACCTGCCATATCCAGCACAGCCGAGAGCACAGGCAGTGCTGAGGGAAGCTGCTTTCCCTGAGTGCTGGGGAATGGGAGTAAACTTTTATTCCTGGCTGGAATCGCCACAGAGCAAGCCGTGCACAAAAAAAAACCGCACGAGCCTTTGCTAATTAAAGCCTCGTGTGAAGGATCCCCACTTCCCCGGGCTCAAGGACTGATCCCTGAACTGCAGTTCCTGGGACCAAAAGGGTGCTTTGGGAACGGGAGCAGGGCTGAAGCCAGCTGGATGAAATGGAATGGTGGTGCTGGATGTGGCTGGTTTTCCTGCTGGCACTGACACACTGAGGCTCAGAGGGCCAGGTGCCCACGGCCCTGGCAGCAGGGTCACCCCCAGCCAGTGGAACTGCCGGGGTAAGGCTGGCTTTGGGCACCCTCAAGGGGCACCCAGCCTTGCCTCGAGTGCTTCAAATGACCTTCAGAGAGCTGAGATGGGGATGCACAGTTTCCAAATGGCCTTTCCCCCCCTTCCACCAACAAAACTAGTTCTCTGGGCATTGAACCAGGAGCATTCTGCTTCCCCACTGGAACACAGACCTTGTCACCACAATACACCCCGAGCTCCCTACAGCAAGAGCCAGCTGAGCATCCCCCAAAATCTGATTAGCAAGGCTGGGTAGTCACAGCCTGCCTAGGAACAGCAGTTGCTTCCCATTGCACTCCAAGCCTCCAGCCATCTCCCTAACTCTCCTTGGCATTTCTTGCTCTGAGTGGAGGGTGGGCCTCTGGCAGATCCCAGCCCTGATCCTGGGTGGGAGGATGGCAGTGCCCACCCCACGCTCTCCCCGAGCAGCCCTGGTTTCCAGGAACCCTTGAGCACGGAGGTGGAGGGCTGAGTGCCTGCTGGAGGAGGCACAGCGCTGCTTGACTCCTGCTCTGCTCCCGGGAGGAAGGGCTCTTCAGGAAGAAAACACTTCAGCTTGGTGTAGCACTCAGTGTGTGTGTGTGTGTGTGTGTCTGTGTGTGAGTGTTCTTTTCTTTCTCCCCCCCACTTAACTAAAAACAGACTGCCAGACCTGATGGGAGCCTAGGGCAATCTAGTGCAATATTTCCTCTGTTTCATGGTTGGTACCAACAGCTTCGGAGCAGGGTGAGAGGGGGCCATGAGGATGCTAAGGGAGCCAGGCTGGGAGAGCTGAGGGGGCTCACCTGGAGAGGAGAAGGCTCCAAGGAGAGCTCAGAGCCCCTTGCAGGGCCTAAAGGGGCTCAGGAGAGCTGGAGAGGGACTGGGGACAAGGGCTGGAGGGACAGGACACAGGGAATGGCTCCCACTGCCAGAGGGCAGGGATGGATGGGATATTGGGGAGGAATTGTTCCCTGGAAGGGTGGGGACACCCTGGCCCAGGGTGCCCAGAGCAGCTGTGACCAAACACCAGCAGCAGCCGGGGCTCTCTTAACTCTCCTGACTCATCTCCCACCCGTGGTGGCCACGTGGACATTGCCTCCCCTCGGCACAGGCTTGGCAGGGGCCGCAAGGGCCTCCCTGAAGGCCTTCAGTTCTGTTTGCCTCATCCCTCCTCATCCTGACCCAGTTCCTGGCCAATCCCTATGGCCATGCGCTCCCTGCAGAGAGGACAAAACACTGGATGTTTCTCTGGCTGCCTCCACAACCCATGGTGTCTTGTACAGTTCCTGCTCTGTGCCTTCCCCCAGCCTCTGGAAGCAGAGCGCACTTGTCCTCCTCTATTTTTTGTCATACCTGGCCCACTTTTACACCTGCCATGAATCCCTTTCCCCCCTGCAGTGCCCAGAATGGTGTTTCTGCAGCTGAGGCTGTGTCAGCATCACAGAAGCACCTCCTTGTCACCGACAAGGGCAGCAAATTCGTACCCAAATAAATCCCTACTTCTGCAAAAGCATGTGAAAGAAAATACTTTAATGGTGAATAAACTCCCAAAGTGGCCAAATGGAAAGGGAGTGGATGAGATTTACACTCTGTGCCACGGTGTGAGGGCAGGGGGTGCAGCTCCTCTGGCTCAGCACTGGGAGGATGGAGGGGGGGATGTTTGCTGCTGGGGCTGTTGCTTTTAGAGCAGGGCAGGAGTGAGGTGCATGGAGCCTGTTGCTGCTAATGTTGTTTGTGTTTAGAGCCTAAACTCAGATGATGGGAAGATGATTTGGAAGGAAATCCTTTAGCATGAGGGCAGTGAGGCTCTGGCCCAGGGTTCCCAGAGCAGCTGGGGCTGCCCCTGGATCCCTGGCAGTGTCCAAGGGCAGATTGGACACTGGGGCTTGGAGCAGCCTGGGATAGTGGAAGGTGTCCCTGCCCATGGCAGGGGCATGGAACTGGATGAGTTTAAGATCCCTTCCACCCCAAACCATTCCAGGATTCTATGAGATAGATTTCACCAGGGCATTCTTTCCTCACCAGGAGAGTTTCCACCACTCAGTAAGGCCAGACCAGGTGTGGAGGTAACAGCAGCCTGCATGTCCAGGCCCAGCCATGCCGTGCTCATGGTCAGATGGGTGCTTTCCCAAGGAAACCCGGCTCCTGACAGCTCTGTCCCAGCCCTAACCTGCTGCCATCAGCCACAGGAATGCAACAACAGCCCTGCACAAGCCCACACGGACCCATGGAGCTTGTGGCCCACACGTGGCTGAGCTCTGAAAGTGAAACGTGAGAGAGGTCATAGAAGGTGCTCAAGACTTACAGGGGATGAGGCAGGACAAACACAGTAAGATGCTTCATTTTATGTGGATCCGGACGGATTTATCTCAAAGGTTTGCTGGGACCCCTGGGAGAAACTGTGTAGGTGGAACATTCCTGGCCCCAAAATGGATGACGTGCATCGCAGCAGAGCCAGAGCAGCAGCACAGCCAGGCAATGACTCCAAACAGGAGGTGACATCCCAGAATTCTGCATCCCTGGATGTCCCCCATCACAGACTCTCACCTCTCTCCTGGTTTCATGCCACCAGGCTGGCTCAGGTTTTTGTCGTGTCCTTGCAGACATCCCTCATCCTTTACCCTCACTTCCGGCAGAATAAAAATGAGAAAAATCCTAGCAGGACATTCCTGTTTCATCAGGAATCCATGGAGAACCCACATTACAAGCCAAGGGACACCATAGGTACATTCAGTCTGCTGGACATTATGATTTTTGACTCCACTGCTGTCCCAGACCATGGAATCCCAGACTGGTTTGGGTTGAAAGGGCCTCAAAGCTCATCCTGTTCCACCCCTGCCATTCCAGGGACACCTTCCATTATCCCAGGCTGCTCCAAGTCCCATCCACCTTGGCCTGGGACACTTGCAGGGATCCAGGGGCAGCCACAGCTTCTCTGGCCACCCTGTGCCAGGGCCTCACAGAGGCTTGTCCAGCCTTTGCTCCAACAAAACCTGATTCAGCCACACTGAATTTTGCCTCGGGTTTCCTTGCTTTGCTCCAAGTCCAGCTGGGTCTCTCTCCAGGAGCCAGGAATTAGGTAGCACAGCTACTCCAAAGTAAATTGCCCTACAATTTCTTTTCCATAGCAAGAGGGTTGTTTTCTTAGGGCAAACCACTTTTATCCTTGAGGAAATGTCAGCAGGAGGAATAGCCAGGGAAAACTTGGCCGTGCTGCTGTCCTGGAGTTGCTATCAGGTATAAAAAGGCCAGTGAGTTTCCCCTCTACAGTTTTTGTGGCCAAGTTCTTTAACTTTCCCCCAGCTCAGCTGAGGATGTCAGAGCTGGTGTTCCCTATAAATACTCTCAGCCTGAGCTGGGGAGAACAAACCAAAAGGGCACAGAAACCATGGAGCTGCTCCAGCCAGGGAGAAATGTCTGTAATTAATGTAGTGGGAAAATTACACGTTTATATGGCCCCCCCAAACACAAGAGCAGACATCCATTTCCTGCAGGGCTGTGGACGCCTGCCAGCCCACAAATAAATCACAAAACCACAAAGCCAACAAGGAAGAAAAAAAGGGGAATTATCACAGAGGATGTAGCAGCCTTTTGTACCAGGAAAATCACCAGCGTCTCCACCAGACATCTATTGTTTGTCAATAATATTCCCTGATGCTTCCCACCATTTGAGACTGAGATGAGGAGGGATATTCAAGCAGAACAAGAGAGGTCTCCTTGGATTTTGCAAACTCCAAAGGCACAGCCAAGGGGTGGCTTGGGAGATGTACTGACCTGCCCCAGAGGCGTTTGTGGGACCAAACCCAAACAAACCCACAGCAAACCTGATATTAAATAGGTTTCGGCATGGGTGAAAAGATGGAATAAACCCAAAGCTGCCAACTTTCCTCCAGGAAGAGGGTGTCTGGAGGGCAGGGATGGAGCACTCAATGGTCTGGCAGCACCTCCAGAGGGATCACATCCAGTGATGCTGGAGATTAAGAATAAGAGAACAAACAATTTCAGTGAGGACTTGCAGTCTGACTCCCACGCATTTTCCCTCCCCTTGCCTGTCCCCATGGAGGTTTAATGGCCTGGGCCCCCACTTCACAGCACCCTGGATTCCCTGAGAGCCTCTCCATTGCCTTCCAGCTGCCTCTGGCTCCAGCAGAGGGATCATGACAGCAGCTTTACAGCTTCCCCTGTGTCCCATGAAGCTGGGCTGTGTCAGCACCAGGGGACTGGAGGAGAAGGTCCATTAGTGGGGTTCTGAAGGGCAGTTCCTGTTTTCTGCACCACCCAGGGCTTGTAAATGAACTGTGGGTGGGTGCCATGCTTCCCAGTGTATATTGTGGCTACAGAAACCCTGACAAATGTATCAGCACTCCCAAGTGGGTTTTTTTCTTTTCCACTCTGAGCTGAAGCGCTTTAGGGGGCACTCAAAACCATCCTGTGCTGCTTACAGGGAAGCTTCTCCACCACCTCTATCCCTGCCACAGGAATGCTGAATCTCATGGATTGCAAGGGACCCTAAAGGCCATCCAGTTCCAACTAGACCAGGTTGCTCCCAGCTCCTTCCCACCAGGATGAGGTAGGTTTATCTCCCCAAACCTCCTGATTTCACTGCCTGGCCACCAAATCTACACCAGAACCAGAGGTCCCACGACCAGGGATAGCTGTGAAGAAAGTCCTCGTCCTTCCCCTATTCCAGGTGTGCCCATCCCAAATCCTCAGCCCTCCTGCTCTTACCCTGCAGTGGGGAAGCAAAGTCAGGGAATAGAGTAAAATGCTTCCCTGCACCTCAGGCACTTCAGCTTTTCCTTTCCTTCCTTAGCCTGCTTAAAAAAAAAACAAACAAACAAAAAAAAACCACCAAAAAATAGAGAGAGAAAGAAATTGTATTTATTCACACACACAAGACTGAAACATTTGTTTAGGAGAAAATCTCACTGATTCTTGGCTGTTATTCCAGATGCAGGGAGAACAGCAGCCCTTAATGTCTGCCTGCTCCTCAGTGATTTGTGCTTTTGTGCTTTGAGCAATGTTCCCAATTCTGATAAAGGTATTAGTGCATTTCATGGGCTGAATTATAAATTATGAGATGCAAAACCATCTATTTATGCACTTCAGTGCTAAGAACTTACATGCAAAACAAGACACTCAAGCTCTCAAAGTTCCCACAGCAGCTCTCTCCACTCTGCACAGACAAAGCACCAAAATTATTTGGCTGTGTTTATGAGGGACACATTTCAGGGATTAGGGCAGGAATAGACATCTCCTAGATGTTTCCACAGCTCAGAGCAGTGACTCCTGCAGCAGTATCCTCTGAGCTGGGTCCAGGGCAAGCTCCCTCTTGAGCTCAGCATGACCAAATGGCACCCAAGATAAGGACATTGAGGATAAACACATCTGGAAGTGGCTCCCTAGCTGCAAAGAAACGCTTATTAACACACTTTTTTTAGGGTAAAAATTGAGCAAAACTAAAATGTAGCAAGCACAGATTTGAGTTTGGGGAAGGAGTTTGGGGAAGGAGGGGAGGGGAGGGGAAAGTTGTCCCCAAAGCAGAGCATGCCCAGCACTGCAAACAGCAGATTAATCCTTTGTTATTTGTGTTTCCACTTCCTTTTAACCAAAAGAATCACAGAATCATTAAGGTTGGGAAAGACCTCTAAGATCATAAGTCTAACTGTGAATTCAAGAGCACAAAAGCATTTCTCTGAGCACCACATCCACATGCCTTTTGAACATTTCCAGCATTGGTGCCCCTGGGCAGCCTGGTCCAATATTTGACCAACTTTCCAGTGGGGAGATTTCCCCCACTTTCCACTCTAAACCTCACCAGGCACAACCTGGAGCCATTCCCTCTTGTTCTATCCCCTGAACTCCAGAGCCTTGCCCAGCTCTGTTCCCTTCTCAGGACACTCATCCCAACAACACGGTGGAAGAACAGGAAAGGGAGCTGCACTACCCCAGGGCAGAGCTTTCCCCCTTCATTTTTACAAAGAGGAAGGAAAAAAAAACACACGTGGAAAAAAAAAAAAAAGAAAGAAAGAAAAAAATTGTTTAGGCTAATCAGAAACTGAAAGTTTATATTCTTTAGTTGGATTTTGAAAAACAAAGTTTGCTTGGCTCAAAGTCAAATGTTTAATTTGACCTAAAAGCTGTAACTTTGCTTAAAGATTCTTAGAATCTTAGAAATCAGAGGACTGAACAGCTCATTTTAAAAAAGGAAAATAATAAAGTACTCTCCCCATCAGGGTTTAAGGCAGGTGACAGCAATAAGCAGTGAAAAAAGAGCAGCAGTCTGTGTTCACAGAAAATGCCTCAGCTTGCCCATGTGCCCACAAGGATGCATCAGTTCATGTTGTCAGAACTGCCCTATTTAAAAATAATAATACTTAAATGTTCCCTCAGCCAGATGGAAAGAGGGGGTGATGTCTGGGCAGGAAATGGAGCCAAGTGTCCCAGCCAGGACTGCTGAAGTGTCCTGATGAAGGAGGGCCAGATCCCATATCCTGCTCTTGTCTTGCACCATGAAGTTGCTGCTGTGGCCCCTGGGAGCTCACACTGAGTCCTGCACTGTGCAGTCACAGCAGCCCTGACCCAGAGGGGAGAGCCAGGCCTGTTTTTTCAGGACAAGCCTCTGCAGCCGTGGCTCTACTTCATCTCCCCCTCTGCATTCTGCTTTGAAGCCCTTGCAGCACCCAGAGATCAGCTCATCGCTTCCCCACCACTCCCTGTCCATCAGTATTCCTCAGAAATTGCTGTGTGAGTGCATACATCTGCCTATAGCTCCAGCTGACAGGAGGAGCTCATTGTGCTTGGGGTTAGGAACACTTTGGAAAAGCTTAGAGCCCATCTCCCATCCATTTCATACAATCATAGATCCACTAAACTTGGACAACACCTCCATCAAGCCCAGAATGGTGTCTTTCCTTCTCTGTCTCCAAGAGCTGAGATTTCCCTTCATTTGAGACTTCTCTAACAAACCAAAAACACATATTCACCCTCATTAGCAGTTTGCTGGTGTATTTTTCCAGGCTTTCAGTGCTCAGTGCCAGCAGCTCCACATGGAAGCTCCAGGAGCAGGCTCTGGGCAGTGGAATTCTTGCCTGACACAGGGCAGCTCCAGCAGGCTGCAGGAGCAGGCTCTGGGCAATGGAATTCTTGCCTGACACATGGCTTTTGGGGGCAGCCACCTGAGCCTGCTGTGTCTGAGACCATTGCCCTAAATTCTTGCTGCTCCTCTCCATTTTCCCAGCCACGATCCGATCCCAGGGGGAAGTCCACATTCCCTGCAGCTTCTTCCACTGCCCAATGAAGCATCAGGAGAGCAGCAACTTTTTTTTGTGCTGCTACCCTCTGGATCTGAAGGATACTCCTGAACTTTAGCCTGGCTCTTGCTCCTGGCCCCTCTCTGAGGCTTTGATCCAAGGAAGTCTCTAGACACATTCCCCTCACTGTGCTGGGGAATTCAGCACTGCAGTATCTTGCATTGCAGATTATTTTTAGGGATGATCCAATTGAGACTGATAAAAATAAGAAAGGAGCTGGAGAATCTTTGCTGGAGCTGACTGTGAGATGCTGTGGCTTACCGGAGCCTCGTGGCCAGAGTGGGATTCCTGATCCAAGAGCACATCCCAGAACAGGTCAAGGGTTTATCCACAGGGCTCGATGACCCGGTTGTGCTCCCACCAGCACCCCACAGGACAAAAAACAGGGATCACCACAGATAAACACAGATAGCTGCATACCAAAATACCCAAATCACATCCAAATTTTGTTTCAAAGTTGAGGAAACATCACCCATAGCTGCCAAGGACATCCTAAGCAATAGTGGCCAGCCAGACAGGTGATGCACTGCTGAATTTCACTGAAAGCCCTTAAAAATTATTATCAGATCTTTAATAAACTCATCTGGGCTGTGCAACCACAGCCCTCACCATGTGCCTCTCAACTGAAGACATGAGCAGAAAGCAGTGAGACATCTCCCTGTGGCATATGCCCAGACGCCAGAAAGTGTTTGGGGCAAAATTCCAGAGCACAGCAAAGGACAAAAACTGATTTTTTTTTTTCTTTTCACTGATGTGAAGAAACAGGATTTGCTTTCAACTGGTTGGTCAGTATTACCTGGGGAAAGAAAGTTAAAAAAAACCAAAACCCCGCCCTCAAGAGATGACATGTCTAAACCAGTCACATAGAGGTATTTATTTTTTTAAGAAGGGACTTTTCTCTGGGTTTTTTTTTTTTTTTTTTTTTTTTTTTGGTCAGGTTGATTATTGCCAACAGTATTTTAACATCTGCTGTGCCTGCTGACCTACCACATTTACCCTACTTACACTAATTAAACTTTAATTAAGCTTGCTAGATGTTCATCTAACATCAAAAGTAAGGTGAAGGCTTTGCCAAGCAAAGGTCTTGGCATGGCTGGGCAGTTTGGGTTTACATAATTTTATTTATACATTCATAACAAAGGGGAGGGGTTTTAAGTGCAGGTCACTTCTGACCTACTCACCTGACCCTTCCAACACCTGCTCTGCAGCTTTGTTCTGAACCAGCTTCACGAGGACTGGCACTTGTTGGGGTAACAGACACCTCAAGGGACTGACGAGTGTTTGTTTGGGATGCTCCCATGAGTCCAGACCCTCAGCTACCTCAGGTTTCTCCTCCCAGGCTGCCAATCAGGTCTTGTATTTCTGTTTCTTAAAAAAAAAAAATTAAAAATAAATAAATAAACAAATAAAAGGGCTTTCCTGCCAGCCCACCCTGGCAGTGCAGGGGTGCAGTCTCAGCTCCGTGCACACACAGCTGTTTTCCAGTCAGCCTCACTCAAACAACTCCAGCCAAGTTTCCTGACAAGTCAGTTTTCCTCTCCTCTCTGCCTCCAAAATAAATTCCCTCACATCCCAGGAAAGGTGCTGCCACAGACTTGGGAAGGGAGGGAAAGGTAGCATCAGGAGTTTCTTGTGGCACCTGGAGCAGGGGTGTCACATTCTCCTGATCAACCAGGGCTGCGTTAATCCTGTGGGGTTAATCCCTGTGGGGATTAAAACACATCCTGGCACTCTCCTCAACTCAAAAGATTCACAGAATCCTTAAGGCTGGAAAAGACCTCGAAGGTCTTCGAGTCCAACTGTTAACCCAGCACTGCTTTTCCCTAATTTCAGCAGGATCAGCTGGGAAAGAAAAAGCCAGCCTCATGTGCATGCTTCAAGGATCAGCAATCAGATTGTTGGCATGCAGAATTGTCCTCTTGCATGATTCACTCCATTCTCACCTTCAGCAGAATGGCTCTGCCTTTGATCCTGGGAAAGCCACTTATTTTAGACCTATTCCTCTAAAATAGCTTGAGCAAGACTCCCTCCTTTCTTTCTTTCTTTCTTTCTTTCTTTCTTTCTTTCTTTCTTTCTTTCTTTCTGGTAAGCAGGAACTTTAAAAAGAAGGTTTTTGGAAAAGGATATTTTGGCAACAAACCTTTCAGTTTAGTGCTTGGCAGGCACCAAGCATTTAAGCTTTGAAAAATAAAAATCTGTTCAGAGCTTTGGGGGTTTGCTATTCTTTTGGCCTTTCCAAATTAAAGTGCAGGTTGGTGCTGTGAGTGGGGAGGTTCTGACACACACACACACACACACACACACACACACAAAAACCTCAAACCCTCAACCCTCAAGGATTTCCAATGATCACTGCCTAAAAAGATCTGAATCCAAGTCCAAATTCCCAGGAGGACCACACATGGATTCATGGAGTGATTTCCCCTGAATGACAGCTCCCAGGTAGCATTGAAGGGTGTTGGAATCATGGAATGGTTTGGAAAGGACCTTAAAACTCTTCCTATTCTCCTCCTTGCCATGGGCAGGGACACCTTCCACTGGACCAGGTTGCTCCAAACCCTGTCCAGCCTGGCCTGGAACACTCCCAGGGATGCAGGGGCAGCCTGTTTGAGGGTGGAAGGGAATTCACTGTTCCAAACAATAGCCACCTATTTGTGGTGTTTTATTTTCAGTCCATCCAAGGAGAGATGCTCCTGGTGAGTTTTCAGTGCACAAACAGGGGCTCCCAGTGAGACATCCTGTCCATCAGCTGGGCCCAGCAATGGAACCTGTCTTTGCAGGAATGGAATGGGTGCCTGTGCCACAACGCCCTGGGCAAACAGGTGCCTTGAGCACACAGCCTGGAGCCAATGTCCCTGTTATCCCCTGGCCTGTGGTGTATGGAGCAGAGTAACAACCTCTTTAAAACCACGTCCTGCATCCCTCTCAGCAGCCCTGCAAAACCAGCAGCCAGCCTCCTGTCCTGGGACCCTGCAATGGCTTTGCTTCCAGATTCATTTGCTCCATGGGATGAAAACGAAAAATAAGAAGAAAAAAGCAGAGAGGTAACAAGAGAAACGGAGCATTTGGCAAATGTGTATTGAACTTCACACAACAAACTCATTAGTTCAGGCGGCCCCGTCTCTATGGCAACCAAACAGCACAAAAACAAGGCATTAACACCTAAATTTATTAGTGGGCAAGTGCTTAGCTTTTATCATTCCAAGGGTGTATTCCCAACCGCAGCTCGCTGGGATTCCCAAGGAAGACGGTTTGGGTTCAAATGCCAACATAAACATTGGAACACCATTTACAGACAGAGGAGCTGGAGCTTTCGGAGTTTCAATCACAAGTTTGAAAAACAGCAAAACAAAACCGAGGAAAAGAGGCTGTGTGTAGGGGAGTTACCCAATTTCCACTTCGCTTTGCAAAATTGTTAAAGGTTTGCAAGTCACGGGTGAGGGGCGAGAAGTGTTCTCCATCCTATCCTAACAGCTCCGTGAGGATCTTCTTCAGGAGTAGGAATGGGGGCTATAAGCTGGTTCTCCCAAAATAATTTCCAAGTGCCCTGCCTTTATTTTAAGTGGATGTTACAAGCCCTAGGAAAATGTATAACAAGGCTCCAGGTCATGCCACAGGCTCTGGGGGAGGAGTGGGGCTGTTTGGATTTGTTCCAGGAATACACAAGGGCTTGGTCATAAAGATGCTGGAAAGCCACATTTAAATGCTTCCCATTTAAAGCATCTTCCCATTCCGAGGGCCCTGGGTGAATTCCAGCGGCCCCAAGAGCTCAGACCATGCTGGGACAGCTTGGAGAAGATAACAAGGTGTCAGATCTCTCTCTGCAGGTCAGAGTGAGGCAGGAGAACAAAGGATGTGTCTCAGCCCAAGGCACACTTGAAGCTGTGCTGGGGCTAACAATGCTCTTCACATTTCCCTAAGTGCTCACTGAACTTCTTTCATCTTTGCTCCAGGGTTTAGAGCAACCTTCAGTAGGAATAAGGACCTGGCTATCTTGGGGTGGATAGTCTTAAAGAACTTAATCCTGCTCACTGTCAGAGAGAGGAAATCTCTGCCCAGAGCAGCTGTGGCTGCCCCTGGATCCCTGGCAGTGTCCAAGGCCAGGCTGGATGGAGCTTAGAGCACCCGGGGAGAGTGGAAGTTGTCCCTGCCCATGGAAGGGGGTGGCACAGGATGAGCTTTGAGGTCCTTTTCAATCCAAAGCCATTCCTCCTTCCATCATGCACAGGCTGTTTCCAGGTGAGAGGCGCCTTGTCCTGGGGCTAATTCAGACCTAATCACTAAACATTCTGTGTCTCCACACAGTGACAGCAAGGAGAATCCAGGCCACACACTCAGGAAAAACCTTTAGTGGGAAAAGCAACACCGCACGATGTTGAGACGATGTCTTAAAAAAATGTCAAACCCATCTTGTCCTCCGGCATCCCTCAGGTGGAGTCAAAAGAGCACCTCTGCTGCCACCAAGCACAGATTTAACCCGTCACAATGCAGAAGGTCTGAGGCAAATGGCTTGTCACCTGATTTCAGCCATGTGGCAGCAAGTGCTGCACAAGGTAGTGCTGCACTCACCACGCTGCCATTAGCAGCAGCACAGCCCAGCACCAATATCCATTCCTGTCCTCAGGCAGCACCTCCTTCTGAAAGCACACTGTGAGCATTTCAGCTGACCAGGGCCCTGCTTCCCAAGCCCTTCAGGCAGGTTGCAAGAAAGCAAATTAACAGGTTGAAACCCTGACAATTTCCTTCTGAAACAAGGTCACTGAGGATCTCACAAGACCCTGAGTGGCTGGCTTGCTATCAGCTCAAAGGCATTTCAAGAACATTAGCACTGGTGCCAGAAATATCTGGGCTCATCCCTGCGGCAAAACAGCGGCAGGGGGAGGAGGAGGATGGGATGTAATGGCAGTGTCTGAACAGGCAGAGGGATGGGGGAGCAGAGATGTCTGGAGGGCTGTTTTTGTTTTTTGGGGTGCCTCCACCACTGGGAGGGGTAAACAAAAGAGTTTTAAAGTCTCCTGTCAGCCAGAACTAACTCTGTCACCATGACAACCTAGTGGTTCATAGCTGGACTCGAGGATCTTAGAGGTCTTTTCCCAGTGTAATGATTCCACATTTACCTCTGGCAATAGATCTCAGCTCACAGCAGCAAAGCCAACTCAAAATAAACCACCAGCACACCCAGTCCCCTACAAAAGGCACTACAAAAGTACTTGCTGACATCATGCCCAGCTCACCAGTGGTTTTCCTCTGCTGGAAATTTTGTTTGCCGTCTGCAGTCTCGCCTTACGGTCTTTTCAAAATGAGGGGCTTTGGGGTTTTACCAGTGAAATCATTGCTGTGGAACAAAATTCAGTAATCAGAACAACATTTAGCAATCAGAACAACATTCAGCAATTGTAACAAGAACCATACCTTCAAGCTTCAGTACAAACCCAGCTCCAGATGGACCTGGAATAAGATCTCTCACAACACTCTTTCACAGCATTCACCATTTTATTTTTGGATTTGATGTCTAAATTAAGTGTTTAGAGGCCTCCATGCTGAGTCCTAGGGCTCCTTCCCCCAAAGCTCTCCTGGCTGACATACCCTCGGGTTGAGATGGATGCTCTGCTCCTGGTCCCTGTGAGTACATACCAGCTCTGACTGCTCTTGTCAAACACAGCAGCATTTCTGGGCACGGGGGCAAATGGGTTTGAGCTGAAGGAGAGCAAATATTAGATGGGATATTGAGAAGAAATCCTACCCTGTGAGGGTTGGGGTGGCCCTGCAGGGTGCACAGAGAAGCTGTGGCCACCCCTGGATCCCTGGAAGTGTCCAAGGCCAGGTTGGACACTGGGGCTTGGAGCCACCTTGGAATAGCAGAAGGTGTCCCTGCCATGGCAGGGGTGGGACGAGATGAGCTTTGAGGTCCCCTCCAACCAAACCATTCTGTGATCTGACCCCTAAAATTCACACCTCCAGACCTCTGTTCTGATGGGCAAAGGCACCCAGGGACAGATGCAGATCCTGGGAAGCAGCTTCTGGTCGTTGCTGCCCTCACTGCAAGCTGCAGATTGTGCAATAGCTCTGAGAAGCCACCCAGGCCCTGTGGAGCCGGTGCCAGGCTGAATGCATTAGCTGTGCTAGGAACAAATGAATGAAGCAAAGCCAGTTTTGTTTTGTGCTGGGGGCAGAGAGGCGGAGCGCAGTGACACCGCTGTCCCAAGTGTGACAGCCCGGCCTGGATGCAGCCACACGCGACCCAGAGGTGCCTAGATCCAGACCTGGAGGCTGTGGCTGCTGGAGCAGTGTTTATTTTAGCCCTGCTTCCCTCGTGCGTGTTCCCAGCAGGAGGGGATGTAAACTGGCTCAGCCATGCCTGCCCAGCCCTCCATCCTCTGCCACGTGCCAAAACTCTTCTGCTCACACTCTGCGAGGTCACATTTCTTGGCAGAGAGCTCGGCTCCTTCTCCCCTCTCCCTTCCCCCATGCTCCTGGTGAAATATGAAAACAGCCTGCCACCTGCCATTTGCCTGGCCTGCTTCTCTCTGTGTGCCAAAAATTAGCAACATACCCCAAAATGTAATTGGAAACACTGCACTGCACTGCAGGGGTCCCATTGCTGCTGCAAAGAAGAGGCTTGACAAAAAGCCAATTTAATTTCTAGATTCCCTGGGCTGCATGTAGCTGCTAAGTGAGGAGGTAAAAAAAAAGAAAAAAAAGCAGCCCTTTTATCAGGCCAATTCCTATTAGTAGATTCAGATCTTTTAACGAGCCATGCTGTAGGAATCAGCAAGCTGTCACTGCCAGCAGATTTAGGGCATCGTTTCTTGGAATTGGAGCCATGTGGGAGGTCAGGAGGTAGAAGTTGGCATTCCCAAACTTCAGAGCCGGGAGCTGGGGTGTGCAAGGCAGAGCTGAAGGGGGCAGAGGATTCCTGAGGGCTGACATTAACCCCGGGAAGGAAACTGCCCCGCTCCCCCTCCTCCCCTGCAGAACTTGCGCAAGTCCCAGAGGATCCTTGCAGGAGGGATCTGGAGATGCTCCCACACCTCCACGCTCAGGGCAGCTCTGACAGCGGAGCACAGCACCACCGATGCTGCCCAGGCTGCAGGCCAGCCCTGCAGAGCTAGCACTTATCTCCTTTTTGCAGCAAAAGGGCAGGACAGGCAAGCAAGGAAATATAGGGCACCTCATTCACACCACGCCTTGGCAGAGAGCTCGGCCAGCAGATTTGTGAAACTGAAAAGCAACATTTCACCCCGAAAGAGCTGTTTACATTGTCAGGGTTGACTTGCCAGGCTTAGGAAAGAGCTGTGCCAAACTGGCTTATTATTATCTCCCTTCCCCAAAATACTCAGGGCCTGCTCCTTTACGGCATGTCTGTATCCATGGAGCTGTGCTGAAATCCATCTGCCTCGGGGGCACCTGTACACACAGACATAGGGAACTCAGCCACTCTGACAGCAATAAAGATGGATTTTGGGAAGGAGTTGTTCCCTGGGAGGGTGGACAGGCCCTGGCACAGGGTGTCCAGAGAAGCTGTGGCTGCCCCTGGGTCCCTGGAAGTGTCCAAGGCCAGGCTTGGAGCAGCCTGGGACAGTGGAAGTTGTCCCTGCCCATGTTAGGGGGTGGGATGGATGAGTTTTAAGGTCCCTTTCAACCCAAACCACCCTGGGAGCCAGGCTGGAGCCAAAGCCTCACTGACCTCATGTTTCCCCTGGAATTTTGCTCCCACCTCAACCTTATATCAAAGCTGTACAGCACACTCAGGATATCCAAACAGGAACAATCCTTCCATCTGCTCTTAGGGAGAAAAGTGCTTAAACCAAATCACAGCACTATTAAATACTTCCCCAAATCCTCCCTGGCCAGGTTCCTTGGAGAAGATGCACAGGGATGCTCGGATCAGGCAGCCTGGGGACACTCAGGTCTGGCTAAAGGCCCAAACAGGACAATAGAATGCCTCTGGGGATGGAGTCTCCCAGCCCATCTCACAGAATCACAACATCCTGGGTGGAAGGAACCCACCAGGATCATGGAGTCCAAGCCCTGGCCCTGCACAGGGCAGTGCCCAGAATCCCACCCTGTGCCTGAGAATGCTGTGTTTGGGACTGGGACTGCATTCCCAAACCCCATCATGGATCTGCTGCGTGGGACTTGTGGGCTGCCTTAATTTCAGCCCCAGAAGGGCAAGGCAAGAGGGAGCCCTGAGGAAACTCCACATTCCTTTTCATCAGGCTGATTACTGAATAGGCTTTTATAGATCAGGGAATTAAGAATTTGGTTAAGTCTAAATAACTGCTTTGAAATTCTTCAAAATTAGATTATTTTTTTTTTTTGTCTCTAGCAAGCATGCTATGGAATACTAGGGAGATGACCCCACGTTTCCAAAAATTAAAACAAAAAAAGTCATCACAAAATCCACAGCTGCTCCCCATTTGCAATAAGCTGTTTAAAACAAAATAAACCAATACATTTTGCTCCAAGAAACATGCATTAGGCACTGGCAGCTTGCTTCCCTCATTCCTCTATCCCCAAACACTTTGAATGGAAGGAGGGGGAAACCTTGAAGTGATACATATGTGAGAAGCCCTGAGAACAATAGCTGCTCCCCAGTTGACTCCAGAGCTGTTATTAAACTCGAGGTTCCCGTGCTAGAGGAGCACAGCTGGAGTAGCACCAGCACCAAGCTCTGAGAAGACCAGCAAAAGTCAGATTTCCACCTACAAATTCCTGGAAGTTTGCAGCCCAAGGAGCAAAACACACAGATTTATGTGGACAGGCTCAGAGGGATGGCATCCTGGAAACCTCCCCTCCAAGAGCAAAATATCAGCAGGCTAATCCTCAGATCAGGAGGGGCAAGATCCTGCTTGGAGCCCAAGGTCACCACTGTGTTTTTAAATTGAATTTTACTCACAATGAGGTGCAGTCAGTACAAAGAGGCTACAGGAGGTTTGTCACACCACAATGTCTGGACATGGCAGCTCAGTCCCTGGATATGTCAAGCAGGGGAGAAGAAGCTGAGTGTTGCTCTTTGCAACCAGCTCACAGATCTTGTCCGTCCTGAAAATGAGGGGAAGACTTGGAGGGTGCATAGTGCACCGGGGGTGGCTCTGAGGATCCCTTTTTCTAGGCTTTGGGAAAATAAGCTTATCTTGACACCCACAGCTGCAAGTGTGTGCAGCCACTCCTTCTGATTCCCCAAACACAGAGCTGACCCATGGGAAATAATGCCATGAAACTTTTCTCAGAGTTTAAAAGCTCGGAGATATCTCTGAAGCACTGCCTTCAAATGAAGCCTTCACCAAGGGACACCTTGAGGAAGAATGAGCAGCCCAGTCCACTGTCCAAGAGAGCCTCGCCCTGGGCAAAAAACAGAGTTGAGGAAAGAGCTGAGGGAGGACAAAACCACTCTGTTCAAAATCAGATCTTCAGGCATCAAGGACTCAGAAAAGCAGGTGAAGGAAGATTTCAAAGGCTGCCAGAGACACACTTGTACCCCCCAGCAGGCTTCTGTGCCCACACTGATCTCCTTTCTGCAGAGGACACACAAAGGGGACGTTTCACGGCATTCACAGCAGAACTTACCTGAGTTATGCACCAAATACCTCTCCACTGCCCCTGGATCCCAGTCCCTGATTCCCAGAGACCCCTGATAAACTCCCAGCCCTGCATTAACAACTCCAAGCTCAGCAGCAGGATCTCTCCATCCAGCAAGCAATGCCCCCACTCCAAGATTTCCCTGAAGGCACATTGCTGTGAGTCACCTCTTCTCCAACGTGATGTTCCCAGAAAGGCTGGGGAAGGGACCTTAACATTCCAGCCCCCTGCCATGGGGTGGGACACCTCCCACTATTCCAGGTTGTTCCAAACCCCATCCAGCCTGGCCTTGGACATTTCCAGGACAGGAGACTTCCCAGAAAGTTTCAGATGTAAGGAACATCCTGGTTCTCCACTGAGTGCTGGGATGCTAACAAAGCTGTCCAGGAAACTTTTCATCCCAGCTGTTCTGGATTTGGGTCTTGTGCTGGTCCAGTCTGGACTGTGAAACAGAGAGGCACAGGCTTGGCATCTGCCACTCTGCTGTTTGTCACGGGCAAGTGGAAGCATTTGGAATTTAGAGTGGGGATAAAATGATCCCTCAGCATTCCTGCACAATGACAAAGTTGAGCTCTGCCCCCTCCCTCTCCACAGGCTCTCAGAGCCCATGGTTTGCAAACAGCCTGGTGACAATACTGCTGTGTAACATACAGGGTATTATGAGTCAATTAAGAATTTAAGAGAGGGTCCACAGGAGGTACTGACCTGGATCCAGCTGTTGCACCCTTCTGGGGGAAGAAGTCAACTGGAGCTTTCAGACCTTCCACAGGGAGACCAGGAGCAAACACTCCAATCCAACAGGAGGACTTGTTGTCTCACAAAACCCCTCTCCCTGCCAGCTGTGCTCCAGCCCCTCAAGTGCATCACATCCTTTGCTGCTAAGCATATCCCATGCACAAAAGCTCATTGCAGTCTGTGATCATTCTAAAGGGGTCACCCAAGACCTGAAATGGCTGAAGCCAAGGTGTGAGTAATAGAAATCAGTTGCCAGGACTAGACTGTAAATCATCTGAGACCTCTGATGGAGCCCAAAGAGGAAAATCTTTTGAGTTTTGCTGCTTGGGTTGAATCAAAAACATTGAAAGTAGCAAGTGCAACATCTGCAGGGAGCTTCAGGAGAAACCCTTGGCACTGCAAGGAGTTCAGCTCTCTCAGGCAGAAGTTCTTCCCTGCAGAGGTTGCCCAGAGCAGCTGTGGCTGCTCCTGGATCCCTGCAAGTGTCCAAGGCCACGTTGGACAGTGGGGCTTGGAGGAGCCTGGGACAGTGGGAGGTGTCCCTGCCCATGGCAGGGATTGACACGGGATGAGCTTTGAGGTCCCTTCCAACCCAAACCATTCTGTGATTCTCTCATTTGGGTGGGATTGGATTCTGGACAAGGTCTGCAGGCAATGCTCCTCTTCTTCCCACTGCCCTCACTCCTGCAGCTGAGCTCTAACATCTGGAGAGGACTCTGTGTCTTCCCCGATGGCTGTGCAGCATGTGGCACAGGACTTTCCCTGAGCTGGACAACCTTCTGCTTGGAACTGTTCCGGAGACCCTGGAGCAGGGTGATGCTTCTGCTGATGGAGAAGGTGACCTTGAGAGGCTCAGAGCTGACTTTAGGTACCACAGGTACCTGTGTCCTGCCACCCTAACCCTGCTGGAAGGCAAAAATCCCAGGAGCTCTGCTCCCAGCAAGAGCAAGAACCTTTTCATCCAGCATCCCAGCAAAGCTGCTTTCACAGGAAGCCTCGCCAGGCCTTCTGCAACATTTCCTCCAGCCAGGCCTGTCCCTGGCCTTCCCCAGGAAGGAACATTTTGTTCGAAGACAGCTAATGACCCATTTACATTTGCCTATAAAATGATGTTTGTCCCTCCCCTCCCGCCTCTCAGCTGCTGCTGCTGGCCTGCAGATCCTGTCAGGGCTAATTACGTTGGCTTTTCTGTGGAGGGAGTTCTCCCTCTTGCCATGTGTTTTCTGTTCAGGGCATAGCACAGTTTCAACAGGTTTTTGAAGCTGTTGTTGTTGTTGTTCCTGACAAGAGCTGCAGTTATGAAACGCATCCTCACGGCCCCGCCAAGGCCCCGGCCAAGGCAGAACCAGCTCCCTCTGACGCAGGAGCAAATTGAGACCATTTGGTACTGGGGGGCACTGGACATCTTATTCCATCTGCAAGGGAGCTGCGAGAAGGGCTGAGCTTCTCTTCCCTCCCCTCCCTTTCAGTACACTCATTTATCCCTGCCGAAATGCACTGTTTCCCTTCCAGTCTCCCATCTTCCCTAATCCTATCCACACGCCAGCAGGGCAGACGTGAAAAATCACCTGCCCATCTCTCTCAGCAGATACTCGGGACAATCCCTGAGCCCCGGGGACACGACGCTGTCCCTCGCAGGGGGTGAAGCTCCCTGCACAGCAGAGCAGCCCAGGCCGAGCCCTGCAGGGAGCTGGAAAAGGATCCCAGGAGGTGCTGCAGGAGCCGAGCTCTGCAGGAGCGGGGCCCTGCCGGCGGGGCCTTCTCCCCTCGCTGAGGGGCCCAGCCGCGGCTGCTGCGGGCTGCCCGGGCACTCCCTTCTCCCCCAGGCCGCTTCCCGGGCTGGCAGCAGCTCGTTTGTCAGGACAGGGGCCAGCAGCAGCCGGGGAGGTGGCAGAGCTGGAGCACAGCTGTGCTCTAGCAGCCTCACACGACGCGGCTCCGCGGGCCCAGCGCCATGGAGGCCGCGCGGGACATGGCTGGGGCAGGCGGGCAGAGCGCACCTGACAAGGGGACAGAAGGGACACAAGGGATGCTCTGGGTGGAGCACAGTGCCAGCACAAACCACCCCACAGGCTGCAGAAGGTGGTCAGTCAGCAGTTTCCTCGCTACCCTGGCACAAGGGATGGCAGCACAGCCATGCCTGCCATTTAGGGCACCTCAGGGCACTGGCTGTCCCCGAAGAGAGGCTGCTCCCTGTGGGATCCCCTCCCAGCCAGCTTGGGTCACAGTGGCCTTGTGCAGCCCTCCGCACTGCAGAGCTCGGAGCTGCTCCTGGAGACCTGGACACCACGGACTGACCCCGAGGAGCCCTGGCAGCCCACAGGGGTGCAGGCACTGGTGTGTGAGTGAGGAGACCCTGCTTTACCACACACACCGTCCTGCCAGTCTGGGAAACGAAGAGCCATCCACCCAGGGAGTGGTAGCAGCACCACCTTCACACCTCTTGGCCTTGCCTGGAGACACCAGTGCAAAGGCTGGATTATAAATCATTTTCATATGTTAATGCAGTGGGTTTTGCCAGGGAAGAAGAGAAATAAGGGAGTACATATATCATATCTTTGAACACTGCATAATGCTTCAGATTAAAAGGAAGTAACTTAAATTGGATTTTGGGAAGTTACTGGCACTGCCCAGAGCAGCTGCGGCTGCCCCTGGATCCTGAAATTGTCCAAGGCCAGCTTGGACTTTGGGGCTTGGGATAGTGAAAGGTGTCCCTGCCCATGGCAAGGGTGGAATGAGATGGACTTTGAAGCCACTCCCAACTCAAACCATTCAGAGGCTCTTTGTTTCTATGACAAAGGAGATCCAGGAGCCCTCCCTTTTCAGGCAGGGTCTGGATCTGCCTGTCCCTGCCTCCTGTCACAGTGGGAGCAGCTTTCCCTGCACAAAGTTCTCCAAGGATGCCCACTAGCACAGCTGCCCTGCTGTCCCTCAGCCGGGAAGCCACCCCGGCGTTTCAGTGGAAGGCTCATTAAGGAGGAAGCAGAGTTAAGTGACAAAGCAATCAGGCTTATCAAGGTCCAGCTCGGGCTTTGGGAGGAAATGCAGCCGCCAGAGCGCATGCCAATATTGTTAATGCCTTTTGGGGCTGCATCTGAGACTGGGTTTGTTTTGGCAGCTGGAAAGCCTGATATAAAAACATGTCCTTGCTGCACAGACCAGCTGAGAGAGCCAAGGCTGCTGAGCAGGGCAGCACAGGGATGCTCCAGCAGCAGAACCTGAGCCTCACCTGGCAGGAATCCACCTGGCTCCAGCCAATCCATTCACAACGACAGAGCAGCTGGAGTTTGTTTGTTTGTTTGTTTGTTTGTTTGTTTGTTTGACATCTCCTTGGGGCTTCTCCTGCTGAATCTCCACAATAGTGGGGGTTAGATACCACAGTGCCACTTGGCTGTCATCAGACCATGTCCTGCAGCAGTTCAGCAAGGTGTGACAGGTTCTCCTGAAGCCATACCTTCCTTATAGCTTCAGGATGGCTTCCTCAGCTTGGATACCCCCAAAACTCAGGAGGGGTCAGGCAGTTCAAACAGTTCCAAGAGCAAAAACTGGGAAATGAGAGATCTCTGTCAACAACCATGCAAGCGGGGGTTTCCCCCTCTCCTGGCACTTCTTTCACAAAAACATGGGTTTAGAGGGCTAAAACCAGAACTAAGGGAGTCCTGGTTCATGGGCAGTGGGTGACAGTGACTCCTTGATTAATCAGTACAATGAGGGATTTGGGTTGATAACCAAACCTGAAGCACATTTGCATCCTGCAGGCCAGAGAGGGACGGCTACAGCTCATGTCAGCAATGGCATCCCAAAGGTGTCATCCTCAGCAGGATAATGGATCATAGGATGCTTTGCATTGGAAGGCACCTGAACCTTGAGGTCATTCCCTCTCCTCCTGTCCTTGCTTCCTGGAGCACAGCCCAACCCCCCCGGCTGTCCCCTCCTGTCAGGAGTTGTGCAGAGCCACAGGGTCCCCCCTGAGCCTCCTTTTTTCCAGGCTGAGCTCCTTCCCAGCCGCTCCCCATCAGCTTTGAGTATCTCGAGATTTCTTATTTCAGCAGCAGAGCTGAGATCGCACCCAGCGTGCTGCCATTGGTCGCTCTCTCCGGCTCCCCCCACTTTTCCTCCTGCCGCCCCCACTTCATTCCACATTTTTCACATTTCTGGGGATTGTTTTTCACCTCCCAGCGCTTTCTGGAGTGCGCCCAACAGAAATAAACGCAGCCTGACCATCGCTGGTGGGGCGAGGGGCAGGGGGTTACGCTCTTGGTAAATTTAGCCCCTCACTGACAGATTTATCTTCCTGAATCAGAACCAAGCGTAGTTAGCGAGGTTTGTTTTTGTAGACTGAACTTCCCCAAAGTCAGCGTGCACTCGCCTCCTCCTCCTTCCCTCCCTCCCTCCCTCCCCAATTACATAAATGCTTTTAGTTAAGAGCTGATTTCCTGGAGTGTGTGCCAGTGCTCTCTCCAAGCAAACAAAGCAAAGACGACACTGAAAAGAAGCCCGCGTTTGGCCTTGAAAAGGAAGGTTATCCTCACAGAAGGTGAGGAATGAGGTGTCAAAGGGTCTCTTCCCCGTTTCTCTTCCTTCATTTGCGCACGGGAGATAAAGCACAGCTGGGGAGCACCTTCCCAGCCTGGAAACTCGGGTTTGCCCCGGCAGACCGAGGTTTGGCCAGAAACTCAAACACACCTCTCATTCGGCAGGGGAGCCGGCAGATCCATCAGCGCTTCCCTTCCATGGCGCGGCCCACTCCCTCCTCTCCTCAGCCCGCATTCCCAGGCTGGCACCAAGCATCCCGTCCTGCCGCAGCTCGCACCAGCGCGGGGGCTAAGCCGGCTTTGCTCCACCGTCCTGCCCCGGGACCAGCTCGGAGGATGTGGGGTTGAAGAGGCTTTCTGGGCATCTTCCCTGGCGGGGCTCCTCCCCTGCATCTCTCCACGGTCTTGATTTAACATTCCCCTTTCCTTTTCGTTGCCACCACGCCACTAATTAAGAACATCCCCAGCACGTGCCAGCGTGGAATGTGTTGTAATGACCATTTGTTTTCTTCTGCTTCAGCTTAAACAATTGCTTTTACTGAGCTCAGATGCTTTCCTAGCAATTAGGAGCCACGATGGATTTTGGGAAGAAATTCCTCCCTGTGAGGGTGGGCAG